ATTGAAACTACTGCGACCCTAATCCAATGACTGATCAAGACCAAACTTAGCACACAGAGCCCCAATGACCCACTCTACATCTTGGTGCAGTTTGGAGGAGGACAGACCATGGATGATGGGACTTCAAGTACCTCCACTCCCTTCCCAAGATTGTTCAACCCTCATCTAATGACCAATCTAGACCAAACTTGGCACACAGAGCCCCCATGACCCACTCTACATCCTGCTGCTGTTTTGGAGGAGGACAGACAATGGATGATGGGACTTCAAGTTCCTTCACTCACTTCCTGAAAACCATGCAGCCATTATCCAATGACCAATAAAGACCAAACTTGGCATACAGAACCACCATTACCCACTTTCTCTAATAACCTGGGCAGCGCCGGGTTCCCAAGCGACGGAGGAAAGGAAGAAGGGAGGAAAGAAAGAAGGAATAATAATAATTCCATGATTGGCCAGCCTGAAAGTTCCAAGATTCTGATTGGCTGGGCAGCGGTGCTATTTGCATATGGTCTCTGATTGGCCAGCTTCAAGAGGAGCCCCTGGTGGAGAAAAGAGTTCATGACAGAAACGGGGACATGAGAAGGAAATTTGCATATGGTCTCTGATTGGCCAGCCTCAATTCCAAGATTCCGAGATGACAAAGAGAGGAAAGGAAAAGGCCAGAGGGGGCTGAGTCAGACAATTACCAATACAGACCACACTTGGCACACAGAGCCCCCATGACCCACTCGACATCCTACTGCAGTTTGGAGGAGGATGAACCATGGATGATGGGACTTGCAGTACCATCACTCACATTCTGAGACCGCTGTTAACCTCATCCAATGACTGATCAGGACCAAACTTGGCACATAGACCTCTCATGACCCACTTTACGTCCTGGTGTGGTTTGGCTGGGGATGGACCATGGATTATGGGACTTGCGGTACCTTTGCTCAATTCTTGAGACCACTGCAACCCTCATCCAATTAGCGATAAAGATCAAACTTGGCACACTGAGTCTCCATGATGCACTCTAAATCCTGGTGCAGTTTGGAGGAGGATGCACCATGGACGATGGGACTTGCAATACCTGCACTCCCTTCCTAAGACCATTACAACTGCCAACAATGATGGATCAGGACCACAATTTACACAGAGCCCGCATGACCCACTCTACATCCTGGTGCGGTTTGGAAGAATTTGACAATGGATGATGGGACTTGCAGTCACTTCACTCACTTCCTGAGACCACTGAGACCCTCGCCAATGACTGATCAAGACCAAACTTGGCACACAGAGTCCCAATGACCCACTCTACATCCGGGTGTACTTTCGAGGAGGACAGACCATGAATGATAGGACTTCAAGTACCTCCACTCCCTTCCCAAGATTGCTGCAACCCTCATCTAATGACCGATCAAGAAGAAACTTGGCACACACAACCCCCATGACCCACCCTACATCCCGGTGCTGTTTGAAGGATGGACGATGGATGATGGGACTTGCAGTACTTTCACTGACTTCCTGAAACCATAGCGACACTCATCCAAAAATCTGTAAAGACCAAACTTGCCACAGAGAGCCCCCATGGCCAACTGAACATTCTGGTGAGGTTTGGGGGAGTACAGACTATGGATGCTGAGACTTCAAGTACCTCCACTCACTTCCCAAATCCTCTGCAACACTCATCTAATGACTGATCATGACCAAACTTGGCACACAAAACCCCCATGACCTACTCTCTATCCTGGAGCAGTTTGGAGGAGGATGGACCACAGATAATGGGACTCACAGTACCTTCACTAACTTCCTGAGACCACTGCGAGCCATATAAATAACTGATAAAGACCAATCTTGATATACAATTCCTTTCTCTAATAACCCGGGCAGCGGCGGGTCCCCATTCTACATCCTGGTGCGGTTTGGAAGAATTTGTCAATGGATGATGGGACTTGCAGTCACTTCAATCACTTCCTGAGACCACTGAGACCCTCGCCAATGACTGCTCAAGACCAAACTTGGCACACAGAGTCCCCATGACCCACTGTACATCCTGGTGCACTTTCGAGGAGGACAGACCATGGATGATGGGACTTCAAGTACCTCCACTCCCTTCCCAAGATTGCTGCAACCCTCATCTAATGACCAATCTAGACCAAACTTGGCACACAGAGCCCCCATGACCCACTCTACATCCTGCTGCAGTTTTGGAGGAGGGTTGACTATGGATTATGGGACTTTCAGTACGTTTACTCCCTTACTGAAACCACTACCACCCTCATCCAATGGCTGATAAAGACCAAACTTGGCACACAGAGCCCCCATGACCCACTCTATATCCTGCTGCTGTTTGGAGAAGGGTGGACCATGCATGATGGCACTTCAAGTACCTTCACTCACTTCCTGAAAACAATGCAACCATCATCCAATGACCAATAAAGACCAAACTTGGCATAGAGAACCGCCATTACCCACTTTTTCTAATAACCCGGGCAGCGCCGGGTCCCCAAGCTAGTACTAAATAAAATTTAAATTCAGAATGAAAAAGATACATACTGATATTAGGAAAGGTTTTTAAAGGTACACAATTGGTTTCAGTATTTAAAATTCATCACTTTCCTTTCAAAAGTATAGAATTCTTGAGGGATGCAATACATTATGTTGTGATTTTACAAACCTTGCATGGGCAATTTCTGTAGCATGCTGGGGAACATCCAGTATAATACAGTGGTTTTGGTGCTAAACTAGGAGTCTGTGAGTCCAGGTTTAAAATCCTTACACAGCCATTGAAACCAACTGGGTGATCTTGGGCAAACCACAGTTTCTCTGCCTTAGAGGAAGACAATCTTGTCAACATGGGAAGCCCATCGCTCCACTCCCCACATGGCTTATCGATGCCCCGATCCCGGGGGGGGGGGGGGGGGGGGGGGGGGAGGAGGAGGGAGTATCCACTACTTTTTATATTAACAACTGAAGTTGCTATTTGACGAGAAGGAAACATTAAGAAATATGTTGCAGGTACAACTAAGAAGTCGTATTTGATAACAAATGAGCAGATAATAAAAAAGGAATTACAGTGGCTTACATTACGATTATATCCTTCCTTGGAGCAGTGGTCTGCTTTGTATGAGAGGTTTTTGCTGGGATTTCCTCTTCACTTTCAGATGACAATTCAATAACATCTTTTCGATACCTAAAAAAAGATATCCGCGTTGTTCGCTTAGCTTCAGGGGTTTCTGGAACACTGGAATCATCTTGGGAAGCATTGAGAAAGAGAAAGAATATATGTTACACACAAACAGAGCTTATCACAACTGATGTATTAGTAGAAATAATTGTGCTGATCAAAGATGTGTGTTTATTGCTACTTCAGAATTAAAATTGCTTTATTAAATATTCTATACTTTGGGCCATTTCTTACATATAAACAAACTGTCCAAAATATGTGTTCAAAGCCAGGATGCAAATATGGAAAATAAAATTCAGGCCCAAAGCATGCATTGCTGAAAATCTCAGATTACTGAAAAAAAAGTTTCCAAACTCTATAGTTGTCAGAATAAATACTAGAATTTTTCTTATTAAAATAGATATTTGTCATTAGTAGAAAACCAGCTGATTCCTAATCCATCTAAAATGCAGATGTGGGCTTTTAATCTTAAGAACAGACAAGGATTACTTGGGAAGGAATCCCACTCATTGCAGCACACCAAAATACCTGAAACACTGCTTGAATATCAAGCAAAAAGTGGGTGTTAGAAATAATATCGTACAAAAGGTGACTGGCACAACCAGGGGATCACAACTAGAGACAGTGCACTTTGCTACTCTGCTGCTGAATTTGCATGCCCAGTGTGGATTACATCTCACCACATTGAAACAGTGGATGTGGCTCTTAATGAAACATGCTGCATCATCACAGGATGTCCATGCTCCACACCACTGGAGAAATTATACTATTTAGCTGGTATTCCACCACTTGACATCTGCCGGGAAGTAGCAGCCAGCAATGAAAGGACCAATGTCAGCATTGACATCTTCAGCCCAACCTCTGTTCAGATATCAGACAGCATCCCAATGTCTTAAATCAAGAAATAGTTTTCTAAGACATACAGAGATACTTGCAGGAACACCTCAGCAAGCAAGAGCCCAAAAGTGGTAGGCTAAAACCCAGCACCTCAATCAGTGGCTGAGACCGGATGAGAAACTCCCTCCTAGGCACACAGAAGATTGGGCGACCTGGAAGACACCGAACAGGCTGTGCTCTGGCACCACAAGATGCAGAGCTAACCTTAAGAAATGGGGCTACAAAGTGGAGTCCACAACATGTGAGTGTGGAGAAGAGCAAACTACAGACCACCTATTACAATGCAATCTGAGCCCTGCCACACGTACAACGGAGGACCTTCTCACAGCGACACCAGAGGAACTACAAGTGGCCAGCTACTGGTCAAACAACATTTAGCATTATGCCCAGTCCTTTTAAAAAAAACAACTTTGTTTGTGTTTTTAAATGCATTTTAACCATACCCTCAGCTCACTTCTGACACGATAAATAAATAAATTGGTGGGGTTGGAAGCTAGAGCATGCCTCCACAGGTCTTTGAGAATCGAAGGGCATTCAGTGTCTTCTTGGTACTATCAGATCACAACAGGAAGGGAGTCAGAGAGAGAAACAAAAAGGAGATGGTTCCCACTGTATTACCTAAGCAAAACCAGAAAGCTATCTATGGTTATTTTCAAGACTAGAAATATTCTGACCAAGGAGGCATGTAAGACTAAACCTGAAACAAGGCAACATGCATAGGAAAAAGAGAACAGCTGCAGAAAGGTTTTCCAGTCTGAGTTAAGTTTAGGGGAAATAAATTAAAAACGTAAAACTGCACAAGAGTTACTTGCTGGACACTTCAATAAATATAGAGCTTTTATAACCCCAAACAAGTCCTTGGCATTGAAAATGATTATACATTATAAACTTTGTAAATGAGAGGTGTGACATATTCCTTGACTTGCAGCTGAATATTGCAAAGTGATAGCAAGAACGTATAATTGGAAAGATGTACAAGAATGGAGGGACAAATATCAAGAAGCCTCTTGCTACTTAGTGTACAGTAGATTTTGAATTAGCAAGATGCAACTCCCAGATAGCTGCTCTATTTAGTAGTACAATAAGATTACCATTGTTTATTAGACCATGGGACCAGACACACCTGTTCTTCAATGATTCATTTTACCATTATCAAGACTGAGTAAAGAGACGTTAATTACACTGTGGAATACCTGCATTGGAGTACTCATTAAGCCAAGCACTAAGGATAATCACTGCATGAGATATATTCCTAAATCTTGTTTAATTTCCTATTGAATCCATTAGATTTTTTGATACGTTGGCTCAGCATTCAACAACTGATTGCATAGTACGCTCTAATTGGAACTAATTAACAAAATCTCAGTTCATAGCATAGGGAATGGGATTCTAACAGACAGCACAGATTTTAATGTTGCATGAATTTCAGACACACAGTCTGTTCCTAACCCTTAAACCAGGGCTGAATAGGAATGGACTCCAGATACAAGTAGGTAAACACAGTATGACAGTTCAATGGGAAATTCTTATTATCGTCATCTAATATCCAACAGAATTTAACTTGTTGGTTTAAAAGTTACCAAAGTAACTTTTTAAGAGAAGCTCTCCGGTTGCAAAAAACTTAATTGGGTAAGAAAGTGGTATTTACACAGAGGTGTAAAAGTGGTATTTTCCTGGTTTAATTCTGAGTCTCCTATAAAAAGACAAAACTGGTGTGTGTTAAAATCATTCCAACCAAGTGCCACAAAATTAGAAACCTTAATTCTCAATGTATATTGCATTTTACAAAATCTAAGACGTCATCAAACGTAAGGTGCTCCCTGTTTATAAGCTTCAATTTTAAAAGAGAAACAATTTTCTCAGATTTTTTTTTACTTTCCTTTGCATGCACAATACTCCTTTTTGTTTCAATGCAGCTCAATAGCGCAATCTTTCCTTTTGAGTGAGGAGGGGATGCGAAGAAACCTGGAAGTCATCTTGTCTGCATGAATCTATTTTATTAAGTCTACGGGCCTGTTGGGGCAGGGGAAGCAGGAAGCAGCGTGAACAGCCATCTGGCTGAGGACAACATCTCTCAGGAGTAACAGGTGGTTTTGGAGTGAGTATGTATCCCTAAGGCCCTTTAAACTGGAAAAGTGCACCTTAGATTTAAGGTAATTAACTAATAGAATGGGAGAATATCTGGACCAGAAAATTGAAATACACAAAGGCATATAATTTGAAAGAAAATTGGCTGAAAATGTTTTACAGATGGCACATGACGCCGAAAAAATTAGGAATGTACTACAAAAATCTAAATAAAAAATGTTGGAAATGTGGAGAAGTAGAAGGGTCATACTACCATATGTGGTGGCATTGCAGTAAAGCTAGAATATTTTGGAAAAATAGACAGGAAAAATTGCAGAAGATACCCAAGATAAATATACCATTAAAGCCAGAATTTTTTCTGTTAGGACTCACAGAAGAGAAAATGGAACAAGACAAAAATAAAGATAAAATCCTCTTCTTGGCTACGACGGCAGCTAGAATTTGCTTTGCCAAAAAAATGGAGAAAGAAGGAAATTCCAGATGTAGAAGAATGGGAAATCAAACTTATGGACATAAGAAACATGGACAGACTAAGCTTTTTAATACAGAAAAGCAAAGCACTTGCAGAAAAAGAAACGGACTGGACATTAATAAACAATTATTTTGGATGGAAAGGATAGAAGAGAGAGCCAATGCCAAAAACAATACAGTGACAACAGAAAAGGAAACTTCTTATACAAGAAAGAAAAGGAATCCTCTTCACCAACATCAGGAAGTCAGACCGAACGAAGGGGATATCCTCGATCTTCATGCCCATGTTTTTAAATTCCGCACTCTTTCTTTTTCTTTTCTTTTGCTCCTTTTCCCTGGATCCTTCATCCTTCATCCCTCACTCCCCCTCCTGTACATTACCTTTTACCCTGTCCCACTATCCTATCTACTTCTATTCCTACTTCTACCCTTCCTACCTATTTTAACATGTAATAAGAAAATCTCAATAAAGACATTTAAAAAAAAGATTTAAGGAAATGTGACATATTTGGGTCTAAATAAATTTATTGGAATTAAGGCTACTTTGATTGATTGAGATGATATTTATTGGGTTTATGAAACTTGCAATATCAGAACTTGTCAGTCAAAAGTTTAAAAAGAGCAGTAGCTAGAAATGTTTCTGCTCATAGCTCAAAAACAAAATAATTGACTTATCGTCTATAAGCGAAAACAGTCAGATACACACCTGTTTGTTCAGTAAAGATTCTAGCAACTAATTTTTTTAATAATCATTACAGAGGGGGAAAGAGCCCCTCTAAGTTCTAGAGTATTCTTTCCGAACAGAGAAAGATAATGTGGGGAATTTAAGGAACAACTTAATCAAGCTCCAGCTTTCCAAAGGCACCTAGCCTGATAGTGTACACTTGGATGACAGTGTACACTTAGTGTACACTGAGAACAAAAACAGAAGGCAGGGGTTGGACTGGATGGCCCATGAGGTCTCTTCCAACTCAGTGATTCTGTGTCTTACAGTCTCACTGCTTAAGTTCATTTTAGGCAGAGTTGTGGTGAAGTGACCAAATAATTTCTACATAAATAATTTCTGCCACCAGTGAGAAACATGCCCTCACCGTTAGCAGAGTAATTCAGGGCAAAACAGAAAACTATGGTTAGAGACACCACCATTTTACTGAGATAAAAAAGGGAGGGCAGAAAGGAATATGTGTGTTAGCCTTCATAGGGGCTTGTGTGTGGGGGGGGAACACTTGAGAAACTGCAAGTCGCTTTGGGTGTGAGATAATTGGCTGTCTGCAAAGATGTTGACCAAGAGATGCCCTGATGTTTTAATGTTTTACCATCCTTGTGGGAGGCTGCTCTCATGTTCCCACATGGGGAGCTGGAGCTGACAGAGGGAGCTCATCCATGCTCTCCCCAAATTCGAACCTCCGATCTGTTGGTCTTCAGTCCTGCATTTTACCATCCTTGTGGGAGGATGCTCTCATGTTTCCACATGGGGAGCTGTAGCTGACAGAGAGAACTCATCTGTGCTGTCCCTGAATTTGAACCTCTGACCGGTTGGTCTTCAGTCCTGCCGGCACAAGGGTTTAACCCATTGTGCCACCGGGGGCTCCCCTACATAAGGTTAAGCAGAGATATAATTTCAGTGGGTTCTTGAAACAAAGCTGTGGCACACACACACAGATACCAAAAACCAGGGATACACAATTCCTATTATATACAATAGCATATTAAAATGGTGTATCTAATACAGAAATTGTAAAATAAAATATTTTTAAAAATATTTTTAAGTTGTGGATGGTTGAATCCATGGATGCCAAAGGCTGGCTGTATCAAAACACAGCTATTGGCACATCCTTGTTTTCACAGCCTAATTTGTGAAAGATGCCTCAGGTTCCTTTTTCTGCTTACTGAGGAACAAATTGGATGATATAATGAGGAGGAGGAAAGCTTGTAGAATCTGTTATCTTAAAAGCACTCAAAGAATTTTAGAGGAAATGCGTTATCTCCAGTAAAGAAGAGGACTGTGATTTTCAAAAATGTATTTTGAAGAATAAAACCTTGAACAATTTAGAACACAGTCGAAGTAGCAACCTTCCCTTTATTGTTCTGCCTATGAAAATTATGATGTACCAGGGAGATATGTAATAAACCCTAGTTTCACAGTATATATTAATATATAAGGACTTTTAAATCAGGGTGTAAGGAATTTTTAATTCTTATAAGCTATTACATTTTTTGGTCTTATAATACATTTTGTGATTCACCTTGGGATCATTCTACATTGACTGATGCATATATTCCAGACCCAAAGACACACAATTATTTTGACTTAACAGAGTCCTACATCCAATCTTAAAATGTGTTGTTGAAGGATTACGTGGCCGGAATCATTGAGTTGCTGTGAGTTTTCCAGGCTGTATGGCCATGTTCAAGAAGCATTCTCTCCTGATGTTTCGCCCACATCTATGGCAGGCATCCTCAGAGGTCAAGTCTGTTGGAAGTTAGGCAAGTGATGTTTATTTTTATATATATATATATATATATATATATATATATATATATATATGTTGAATATCCAAGGTGGGAAAAAGGCAAGTTTGAGGCAAGCATGAATGTTGCAATTGGCCACCATGATTACATTTAATGGCCTTGCCGCTTCAAAGTCTGGCTGGTTGCTGCATTAAACAACTCTAAAATCAGGACAGTAAATAAAGAACAGCACTAAAAAAACAGGGGAAGTCCAGACAATAATCAATCAGGGCCAGCTAACACCTCCCAACAAATGATCTCCCTAGGTAGCAACCAGCCAGAGTTTGAAGCTGCAAATCAATGCTAATCAAGGTGGCCAATTACAATATTCTCACTTGGCTCAAACAGACAAGAGTTCTTTTTCCCACCCTGGACATTCCATAGATATATAAACCTGGAACATGGCCATACAGCCCAGAAAACTCACAGCAACCCAAATCTTAAAATGTTTCTTATAAATAAACAAAACAACCTGATGCAAAAATCTCACAGAACAGCAGAATGATGGAAACTGTAGTAATGAGAGATGGTGCTCACTTCCAAGAACAGACATGATCTGTTGTTTGAGGGAATTTAGACATCCAACAAAGAACCCACCAAACAGTAAAAGTGTATTACTACACCTGAACTAAGGCTGCTAGCTTGCTGCTTTCCACCAAGTCAAGAAGTTGTGTGTGTGTAAATAAAGTTCTAGCTTTCCAATTTCAGTGAAAGGAGAGAGAGAGAGAGAGAGCACATTATCAATGAACCGTGATTTTTGAAAGCTGTGTAAACAAAACATGGGGAAGAAATGATAATAGTGGATGCCTACAGTGAAATCAGAAAGCATATTTAACAATATTTAATTTAACAATATAATCAATTAAAATGTTTTCAGCCCATATTACCTTATAAGGCATGTGGATAGGTTTACATTTACATCCCAAACACTTTAATGTAAACAAAACATTTTAATTTGATGCTAGAATGCCACCTGGGCTCTACAGAGTGGTTGTGTGGGCATTATAACACAGTGGGGATATCACAGCACAGGTGGCCTTCCTTCATCCCTCAATTGCCGGACACAAAGTAGGGTCTCTCCAACCAACATAAATCTCTGGGAGATTTTTTATTTTCTTATGAATTGGATAAAGCAGAACTTACCAGTTTTCTCTGACACATCTGATGTTGGAGTGGACGACCTATTATTACGACTAATAACATTATCATCTTCCCTATCATTAGCAGCAGCAGCATGGTCTTCTGAAGCAGAAGAAAGAGAACCATCCTTATCTACAGCATCCAAAGATGAAGAAGAGGTAGCCTCCTCCTGATCTATAGGAAGGCGAGGAGATGGAGAATCCCTTCCTCCCATTTTTGCTTTCTTTTCAAAGCGAAAGCGGTCTAGATTGAACGAACTCATTATTTCAGTTTTTAACTTTTGCCAGAGTTTAGGGAGTTGAATTTTAGAATTCCTGGGGGAATGTTACAAGCACCATATAGCTCAAGAGTATCTGGAGAGAGAGAAAAAGAAGGGTGTGGGCAGAAAAGACATGACAGAGGTTGAGTGAATGAAGGACATCCCTTATTACAATACCCAATAACTTAAAATATCAGTCAATATAATCTATTTATATCTACTATTTCCATCTGTTTTCTCCAACTGAAGTGCATCTATCAGTAGACTGATGGTGGACAAATCTACACCATTCCTGCAAATTTTGCTAGTTCAGTATATGACCCTGATATGAAAGTAGACCAACTGAAATTATATCCCAACTCAGTGAAATGTACAATGATGCAAGGAGAACATGGATGCCCACTATACAGGAAAATTATGTTTATCTGCTATCTTTGCTCAAACTCCTGTCATTTGACATGTATATCATTGGTTGGCAAAAAATATATCATAGAAACCAGCACACAATATACTTTTCAGCTTCTCAACAAATATTTATATGGACACGCACTACAACTGTATTGCCATTATATGCTACAGAAGGCTGTTCTTTAGCTATTGTGATGTTCCAAATGGTGGGAAATGCCCTGAAACTTTATTTTTCTAGGGCATTTTGCTGGGATATTAAAAATCATTAAAACAACAGTCCAGATTCTTTTCTGGAATTCTGAAAGCCATAACACTCCCAAATCCAAAGCTTTCTGGATGGGTGGCCGATAGTGACACCTTTGGTTCCATATTCACATTTTGCTTCATTTAATAAATTATCTTAAAATCTTGATTAGAAATATCATCAGGCCATGTGTATATTATGTATATAAAACATAAATGAATCCCATGCTTCATTTTGGGTACCACTGCCAAGATATTTCATTATGCATATATATGCAAATATGTACATAATACAAGTATTCCATTTTTTTAAAAAAATTCCTAAATCCAAAACACTTCTGGTCCCAAACATTTTGAATAAGGGATACTCAACCTGAACTAATCTATCACATAACTAAATTTGCAGGTTCAGATCTACTTTCCTTGAAACATCCTAGACCTTGGAAATCTCAGCCACAATTTTTACAACGGTACTCTGCATCCTCACGACTAAGTAAAATGTGTGTAATTATTTTACAATAGGCTTTGTAGATGCAGGGCTTCATACTCCTTGACACATTCCGCATATCCAACACCCTTACGTGCCTTCAACAGGTGTATCTGCACTATAGAATGAATGCAGTCCAAACCAGTTTAACTGAAATGGCTCAATGCTTACGGAATCAAGGAAGTTGTACTTGTGCAGGGGCATTAGTCTTCTCTTCAAAAGAGTGCCAGTACTTCACCCAGAGTACCACAGCCTTGTGCCAGACCAGTTAAAGTGGTGTCATGCTGCATGACTTCTATAGTGTAGATAATAGACCCTGGGACTCTATACAGCAGGCATGTTAGGAATTGTGGGAGTTGAAGTCCAAAACACTTGGAGGGTCGAAGTTTGCCCATGCCTAGTATATATTCATATATAAGTTTAGAAACGTTACTCAAAATATCAGTGTAAAAAAACTGGGTCAGATTACTCAGTTTCATAGTATGAAAGAGTCCTTACTGGCATGGAAACTGCAAATCCCTTGTATGTGAGATCTACACTGATATAGAAACCAACTTTTCATTTAAGACTTTTTATACAATACAACTCCCATGCTACAGCAGCTCCACTGACTCCCAGTTTGCTATCATGCTGGCTGTTACCTTTAAATCCCTAAACGGTTCGGCTCCAGACTACCTGATCATCCGTTTCGCCTCATATGAACCTGCCTGGACACCGCATTCATCAAATGAGGCCCTCCTCTTGGTCGTGCCTGGCCCAAACCTGGCTGCTGGGGACGAGAGAGAGGGCCTTTTTTGCAATTGCTCAACACTTCTGGAACTCTCCCCCAAAGGAGATTAGAATGACCCCCATGCTCCCTTCTTTCAGAAAACAACTAGAAATTTACCTATGATCCCAGGCTTATAGAAAATCAAAAGTTAGAATATCTGGCTTTCCACACAATTAACGTCTATGGTTAGGGCTTTAATGATGGTTTTTAATCTACTGATCTGGATTTTAATCCTGCTTTTAATTGCTCCTGTGAATCGTGTTTTATTGATTTGTTATTATGCTTAGTTATGATAAATTGTTTATATTAATTATTTGTATTTTAACTTGATTATGCATTTGTATTTTTATTATGTATTTGTGTGGCATCAAATGGTTGCCATCTATGTTGTAAGCAGCCCTGAGTCTCCAAGGGGAGATGGGATGAGATATAAATAAAGTTTGATTGATTGGTAATACCAAAGCTCCACTTGAGTCCTGCTGTGCTCTGTGGACTAGTTTAATAATAATAAGCTTTATTTATATCCCGCCCCCTCTCCCCGAAGGAACTTGGGGCGGCTTACAGCAAAACAAAGGAATACATGATATAACAAATAAACAATATAATGCAGACAATAATCACATATTGATTAATAAAACAGAATAGCTAAATAAATCAACAGCTTAAAAGATTATTTAGCCCTCTAAAAACAGTACACATATAAACATCACTTAAAACCAGCCAATTCCTATTATCAGGGTATCCATCATTATAAACTATAGTCTGAATATCCATACAAAAGCCCTACCTGATAAGGTGGTTTATATTCTTAGCCATTAGTTTAAATACCCTTGCCTTTTTAATGGCCATTTAATTACATATTCAGTCTGCCCTGTGGTTTTAGAAAGAGGCAAAGCAGTAACCCTGCAAAGAGATGAAGTCAGATCCCTTTCCTGAGATCCCACCCTTTTCCAAGGATCCCATCCCACCCTGACATTATTTTCAAGCTATCACCGTTTCTTTTCCACCCTGAGTCCCTTTGGGGGCATAGAGTGGTATGTAAATAAAGTTTTATCATCATCACCCACTCTTGTGACAGAAAATGGAGGCGACAAAGAGGAGGAATCTTCCTTCTCAAGAATTCCCTGAATTTCTTCAGGCATCTGCCTGTATGGTACCTTAACTCGGCCTGACACTATGCCATGGATTTTAAAATTCTGCAGTGAATTTTAAGTACAGAATTTTTATTCATTTGCAGATATCAAACAACCTCAAGATAGCCCACAAAGGTAGTGGCACCAGGAACACCAACCTGTCCACATTGGCAGACAGGTTATTTTTAATTTTGACTATTTGCATACACTTGGTGTGTGTGTGTGTGTGGGGGGGGGTGTTACATTTCTCTTCCATTATCATTTAAATAACTTTAAATCTGAAGATTGCTACAAGCACCATGTCTACTTAGGAATCACAGAATCATTGAGTTGGAAGAGACCTCATGGGCCAGCCAGTCCAACCTCCTGCCAAGAAGCAAGAAAATTGCATTCAAAGCACCCTCGACAGATGGCCATCAAGTCTCTGCTTGAAGGAGGTCCACCACATTCTGGGGCAGAGAGTTCCACTGCAGAACAGCTCTCACAGTTAGGAAGTTCTTCCTAATGTTCAGGTGGAATCTCCTTTCCTGTAGTTTGAAGACACTGTTCTACGTCAGGGGTCCTCAAAGTTTTTAAACAGAGGGCCAGGTAACAGCCTCTCAAACTGTTGGAGGGCCGGATTATAATTTGAAGAAAAAAATGAATGAGTTCCTATGCACACTGCACATATATTATTTGTAGTGCAAAAGGCACTTAAAAACAATACAATAATTCAAATGAAGAACAATTTTAACAAATATAAACTTATTAGTATTTCAATGGGAAGTGTGGGCCTGCTTTTGGCTGATGAGATAGGATTGTTGTTGTTGTGTGCTTTCAAGTCGTTTACGAATTAGGTTAACCCTGAGCGAGGGCCAGGTAAATTACCTTGGAGGGCTGTATTCGGCCCTCGGGCCATAGTTTGAGGACCCCTGTTCTACGTCCTAGTCTCCAACGCAGCAGAAAGCAAGCTTACTCCCTCCTCCCTATGACTTCCCCTCACATATTTATACATGTCCATCATCATGTCTCCTCTCAGCCTTCTCTTATGACGGCTAAACTTGCCCAGCTCTTTAAGCTGCTCCTCACAGGACCCTCCTTCTCTTCATGCTCTCCTGCGGAAGTGTGAATAGTTCAGACTGTCTGTATTTTGACATTCCAGAGGGCTCAAAGACAATATTTCTCAGATCATTTAGCACAGGGTGAGAACCATCTACGCCTCCAAGGCAGAAGAAAGCAAGCTTACTCCCTCCTCTCTATGACTTCTCCTCACATGTCCATCATCATGTCTCCTCTCAGCCTTCTCTTATGATGGCTAAACTTGCCCAGCTCTTTAAGCCGCTCCTCATAGGGCCCTCCTTCTCTTCATGCTCTTCTGCGGAAGTGTGAATAGTTCAGACTGTCTGTATTTTGATATTCCAGAGGGCTCAAATACAATATTTCTCAGATCATTTAGCACAGTTCTAACACAGTGGTTCTCAACCTGTGGGTCTACAGATGTTTTGACCTACAACTCCCAGAAATCCCAGCCACTTTACCAGCTGTTAGTGGTTCTTAACCTGTGGGTTTACAGATGTTTTGGCCTACAACTCCCAGAAATCCCAACTGTTAGTGGTTCTCTAACCTGTGGGTCTACAGATGTTTTGGCCTACAACTCCCAGAAATCCCAGCCAGTTTACCAGCTGTTAGTGGTTCTTAACCTGTGGGTCTACAGATGTTTTGGCCTACAACTCCCAGAAATCCCAGCCAGTTTACCAGCTGTTAGTTCTTTACCTGTGGGTCTACAGATGTCTTGGCCTTCAGCTGTTAGGATTTCTGGGAGCTGAAGGCCAAAACATCTGTAGACCCACAGGTTGAGAACCACTGATAATACAGGATGAGCCTCAATCTACCTTGGAGTCCCAGCACCTCCAAATCTCCTTTCCCTGCGGCGCTTCTTCTCCTTCCCACAATCCAACCGGGGCTGAAATCTGTTAACTCTCCTCCTCCTCTTCTCCACAATCCCCATTTCCTTCCCTTTCCACCATTTTTTTCCCTTCCCTCACATTCCAACTGACTGAAAGGACGACATCCGCTCAGAATCACACCCCCTCTGCTCGTCCTAACTTCCCCCCTTTCTCTCGCCTCTCAGAGAAGGAGCAGAAGGGTGTGTGAAAGAGAACCATGATTAGACAAAGGGAAAAGAGGAAGCGGGGGCAAAAAGGCCTCTCATTTCTCTCCCTCTGTGTGTGTGTGTGTGTGTGTGTCCGTCTCTCCCTCCTCCTCCTCTTCCGCCCAGTGTCGTTTCTCCTTACCCCGCCCCCACGCCGAGGAGGCCCTCTCAGCGCCGGCACCGGCAAAGCGGCAAGGAAGGAAGCAGCAGCAGGAGGAGGAGGAGGAGGCACCCGGCAATGACGACACACTCAGGCGACGAAAGGGGGGGGGAAGCAAGCTCTGTGAGGATTCTGAGGCGCTTAGTAATGACCTCACTCAATGGGATTCCAGAAAACAGAAAAAAAAGGGGGATCGTGAGGGAAAGGAGGCGCGCGCGGTGATGACGCACGCCGCTTCGGGGAGGGAGGGGGGAAGGAGGGAGGGAGCAGGGAGGGGTGTTCTTGGCCAACAAGAACAAAAGAGAGGAAAAAGGGAGTGAGGCTCTACGCGGGTGGGCACGCGCATCCTGCATTGCGCAGGCGCGTCTGCTGAGCGGCGCGCGGTTCGCTTGCCCCTGCGCATGCGCCGCAGGTGAGGCTGCTTTCTTGCCCTGCGCCAGGCGAGGTGCATTCTCTCTCTCTCTCTCTCTCTCTTCCCTCTCTCTCTCTCCCTCCCTCTCTTTCTCTCTCCCTCTCTCCCCCCTCTCCCTCCCTCTCTCTCTCCCTCCCTCTCCCTCTCTCCCCCCTCTCTCTCCCTCTCTCTCTCTCTCTCTATCTCCCTCTCTCCCACTCTCTCCCTCCCCCTCCCTCTCTCCCACTCTTCTCTCTGTCTACCTCTCTCTCTCTCTCTCTCTACCACTATCTCTCTACCTCTCTGTCTCTCTCTACCTCTCTGTCTCCCTCTATCTATCTATCTCTCTATCTCTCCCTCTCTCTCTCCCTCTATCTCTCTCTCTACCTTTCTCTCTCTCTACCTCTGTCTACCTCTCTCTCCCCCTCTATCTCTCTACCTCTCTCTCTGTCTACCTCTCTGCCTCCCTCTCTCTCTCCCTCTCTCTCTCTATCTCTCTGTCTACCTCTCTCTCTCTACCTCTCTCCCCCTCTATTTCTCTCTCCCTCTACCTTTCTCTCTCTGTCTACCTCTCTGTCTCTCTCTCCCTCTCTCTCTCTCTACCCCTATCTACCTCTCTCTGTCTACCTCTCTGTCTCTCTCTACCTCTCTCTATCTATCTGTCTACCTCTCTCTCTGTCTACCTCTCTCTACCTCTCTCTCTCTCCCTCTATCTCCACCTCTCTCCCTCTCTCTCTCCCTCTCTTCCTCTCTCTCTCCCTCCCTCCCTTTCCTCTCTCCCCCCCTCCCTTCCTTCCCTCCCTCTCCTTTCCTCTCTCCTCTCTCTCCCTCCCTCTCTCTCTCTCCCTCTCCCTCCCCCTCTCTCTTTCTCTCCCTCCCTCTCTCTCTCCCTCTCCCTCTCTAGGACAGGTTTATCATTATGGATTTGTTGTAGGTTTTTCGGGCTCTAGGACCATGTACTAGAAGCATTCTCTCCTGACATTTCGCCTTCATCTATGGCAGGCATGCTCAGAGGTTGTGAGGTCTGTGGGAAACATAATAATAATAATAATAATAATAATAATAATAATAATAATAATAATAATAATAGTTCTTTTTTCCGGCTTTCGATGTTGGCGCTGGCCTATAAAGCCCTAAACGGTTCCGGCCCAAGATACCTTTCCGACCGCATCTCGACCTACGAGCCCACCAGGACTTTGAGATCTTCCGGGGAGGCCCTGCTCTCGATCCCGCCTGCTTCACAAGCACGGCTGGCGGGGACGAGAGATAGGGCCTTCTCGGTGGTGGCTCCTCGGCTGTGGAACACCCTTCCCGTGGACATCAGACTGGCTCCTTCCCTGATGATATTCCACAGGAAATTAAAGACTTGGTTGTTCAAGAAGGCGTTCGAACAAGAAGTGCAATGATTGGTAATGACTTTAGGAATGGAACAACGGAAAATGATACCGGATTGTGGTTTGGACGATGAGACGACGCTGAATGGTTTTTGTAGTAATGACGATGTTTTGTATAATGCTGGATTGTGAATTGTTTTTTATACTGTGTCTTGAATTTTGTTGTTCCTATGTTGTACACCGCTGTGAGTCGCCCCTGGGCTGAGAACAGCGGTATATAAGCAAAGTAAGTAAATAAATAAATAAATAAATAAGCATCCTCAGAGGTAGTGAGGTCTGTTGGAATTAGAAAAATAGGTTTAGATATCTGTGGAATGACTGGGGTGGGGCAAAGAGCTCTTCTCTGCTGGAGCTAGGTGTGAATGTTTCAACTGACCATCTTCATTAGCATTTTGCTAAGTCGTACGTGCTAAGACCCATCGTGAGTGCCATTGTATCCCTCACATACGACTTAGCAAAATTTCTTGCTGCACAGTTACAAAGCCATATTGGGCGTACTGCACACTACATCAAGGACTCAGCCCACTTCATAGAAAAAAATTAGCAATCTCAAGCTAAATACCAACAACAAACTGATCAGCTTTGGTGTGGTGTCTCTATTTACCATGGTCCCGGTAGCAGACACCATGGCATTCATCAACCAGAGGTTCCCAGAAGACATCACGGCTCTGTTTCACCATTGCCTCACCACCAGTTACTTTCAGTGGGACAATGAATTCTACGAACAGAAAGATGGAGTATCTATGGGGAGCCCTCTCAGCCCGGTCATAGCTAACTTCTACATGGAACACTTTGAAGAACAAGCCCTGGAGACAGCAACCAAAAAGCCCACGAGATGGTTCAGATATGTGGATGACACCTTCACCATTTGGAGCCATGGAGAAGAAGAACTCAACAGGTTCCTGGAACATCTTAACAGCATCCACCCAAAAATCCAATTCACAATGAAAAAAGAAAATGAAGGAAAACTGCCTTTTCTAGATGTCCTTGTGATCCACAAACCAGATCAACAATTGGGTCACACCGTCTACAGAAAACCCACACACAGAGATAGATATCTACATAAAAACTCCAACCATCACCCAAGTCAAAAAAGAAGCACCATTAAAGCCTTGGCAGACCGTGCAATGTGGACTCAGATAACCCAGTTCAAAACAGATATTGTGGGATTTTCTGCCTTGATATTCTGGGTTATGTGGCTGCATGGAAGGGCCCTAAGTAAAGACTTTAATACTAGAAAAGTGTCTCAAAATTGCAAGACAATTTTTAAAATGAGTTTTGTAACTCTGCCTTAATAATGTGGGAAATCATGCATTGCTTCACATGGGTGACAGTTTAAACGTCTTACATCAAACTGATTTCAACTTTAATTTGTACCTCTTATTAAATCATCATTGAAAGAGTGATGACAACATAATCCCAGCTTTGGGGAGCCCTAAAATGCAGGATCATTTATTTATTTATTATTTACCTTCTTCATTTTATATCCCACCCTCTCTCCCTCGTTGAGGGACTCGGAGCGGCTAACATACGGCAGCCATTCAGTGCCATTCAACATACACCACATTGTAGTTAATACAAATCAATAGATATATCAAAAATTATCCAGCTAATCTAAAACAATAATACATGGTAGAGCAATTATTTAAAAGCATCCTTTTCACTGAGTGGATGAAACAACTTAGGCCATTCAAAACCTGACTTGGTTGATTGTAGAACAAATGTTATTGCATTATATTTGTTCAGATAGCAGACCATATTTGTAGTTTTAGATGTATTTTTGGATCTCCAAGAGTTATGCAGAAGCAAAATCTGAAAATCAAAGTGCAAAAGTGTGATCTATCTCCCCATAAAACTGTTTAGGCTTCTTAATAATAGAAAAATAATCTCTTCCAGTTTGTTCTCCGCTTTCATGTCTTTTACGCATCTTTACTGTGGAATTAATGCAGTTTGACACATCTTGAACTGCCATGGCTCAAGGCTATGGAATTGTAGGAGTTGTAGTTTTACAAAGTCTTTAGCCTTTTCTGTTAAAGAGTGCTGGTGCCTCACCAAACTACACCAAACTACAACACCAAACTATACCCTTGAGCCATGGCAATAGTGTCAGACTGCATTCCTTCTACAGTGTAGGATAGTGAAGCATCAGTCACAAACTGCCAAGCTAATTCAAAAATAGGTAACAAACTATTCCTTTCTGTTCTTGCCCATGATGCTAACAAGGACTCTTATCTGCCTAGTGGAAGAGCCCCAATTCATTACAAAAGCAACACTTACCGTGTCTCCCCTCAATCTACATTAGTAAGGTGGACTCATTCATGTTTTTACAATGTTGGCTCAGTTTGATTTGCACTCATGACAAACATTCCCAATTTGACTAGTTATGTTACAGTTCTGATGCCAGAAATACTAAAACACCTTATGAATAGGCACAGAAATGTATCTGATCCAGTGTAAAGTTGAACCACAGATGAGGTGGACCTCACGTAAAAGTTGAGAACAGGTTTGGGGGGCAAAATTATGGATTTTGATATGACCTGTGGATAAATCAAAGTCCATGAAGAGAGGGAAGGGGCACAGCTGCCTTTTTCCCACCCAGACATTCAAAAAGTCCCAAAGAGATTAGCGCTTCTTTTAGGTTCTCCCAGGACAGGCTAGGCTCTCGTCTTTTGCTATTCTATTTAGAGAAGGGTATGGTGATGATGATGTTCATGATGATAACAACTACTTTGTTTTTATATCCCACCACCATCTCCCCGAAGGGACTCGGGGCAGCTTATATGGGGACCAAACCATATAAAACAAACCATATATATGTGTGTGTGTGTGTTTTTTAAACAAGGTTAAAAAACACACAGTTAAAAACATATAACAAACAGCTAAATAAAACAGCAAGAACAATAAATATAAAACATCATAAAACATAAACCAACCAATAGTTGGGACAAGTGGGCATGTGCAGATTTGGGGCTAATAGGGCAGGACAAGAGCTAGTGCAAATGCAGGTTGTTGGGCCGGGGGGGGGGGGGGCTGAGAATAAAGTGCTGGAGATACTTCTTATTAGATCCTACTAAAAGAAGAGGGCAAGGCAGAATTTGATCAGTACTGAACTATTCTTCGAAGGCA